CTCTGGTAGCATAGTGGCTAAGGCACTTGACTGCTAACCAGAAGGCTGGTGGTTCAAACCCACCAGCCACTCCTCGGAAGGAAGGTTGGGCAATCTATCGTAGTGATACTGCCTCAGAAACCCAAGGAGGGGTCGCTATTAGTTGGGTCTGACTCAACAGCACTAAACAACAACAACAACAACAACAACAACAATGGAATGGCTGGTTCAAATGGTATTTCTAATTCTAACTTTTTAAGGAATCACCATACTGCTTTCCACAGTGGTTGGACCATTTGGCAATCCCACCAGCAGTGTATGAGAGTCCCAGTCTCTCCACATCCTCGCCAGCATTTATTTTCTGGCTTGTTGAACCTTGCTATTAGAAGCAGGCAGTAGTTAGCTCTCTTATGGCTTTTAGGGCTAGCATAGAAAACTGCCTCCTAATCCTTTTTTTCGGGAAATAAATGCAGTTTGAGTTCAAATAACTAACTGTAAACTAACTTGCTTCAGAGTCTACTTTTGATCACATGGGATCTACGTGTCCAGCGTGAGAAAATTCCACACTAGAAGCTTTGCAAGGATCTGACCTTGATGACCTTGCATGACTTTTCTTTCTATTTCCACATTTTAAGATTTTATCAATATCCATTTTTTAACGTGTTGGCCTTTATGTGGGTCTTATGACTTTATTTTTTTTCCCTTTAGTTGCGTATTTTCTGATATGTGTTCAGTTGAGTGCGTGTTTTGAGAATTTTGTCCCTTTTTTCTTTTGTTCTCTTTTCCTATAGGCTTCCTTCCCTGGGAACTTGCACTTGGTTTTGGTTCTACGTCCCACCAGTTTTCTTCAACGAACTTTCACAGACATTGGGTTTCGATTTAGCCAAGAGGATTTCATGCTCAAATTGCCAGTAAGAGTATATTATTTAGATGTTTTGTCACTTTAATTCTCAGGAAGCCCTTGTACCATGCTGTTGATGTCTTACATGTATTCATCTTAGCATCTAAGAGAAAGAATATGTCTTTCCAGAATAAATGTTTGAAATGCCTGGAAGTCATCTGCTTCTACTGTAAAAATAGATTTCACATTGTAATTAACAAAGAAATAGATCAAGCTGTTTGTAGCAAAGCAGTACCTTTAGGGAAGTATATATATTGTGTGTATTTTATATACATGTGTGTATATATGTGTGTATTTATGTGTGTGTGTGTATACACACATGTATATCCCCCAAGAAACCTCAATCATGATTTTTTTTGTAAAAACAAGCTGTTTGTTTTATGTATGTGAACTCCCATGAACTTACATCCTGATCTAGTTCAGAGTACCATGTTCTTTTTTTAAAGATGTTTTTATGTGTTTTGAGAGTTAGGAATACAGTGCTCATAAAAGTTTGATAACTGAGCCAAGACCGATCCTGTGTGATAAGTTATAATGCCACCCAGTGTCCTTTCACTCTGGTGTAAGTGCAGCATTTTCTCAGGAGCTTTGGCCATTAACAATGCAAACTTTGAGATAAAGGAGAAGTGGATGTTTCGGTTTCTATGGAGATTAATTTTGCTTTCCAGAGAAGTGGTTTTGTAAATGAAAACTGTTATTATCTGAAGGAGGTAGTGCATACTGGTATATGGGGGATGTTCAGGAGTGAATTGTTCACACCACTGCTAAGAGATCATTTGTTGCTGACTGTATGCTAGAGTGCATTCTACAGGTGGATGGAGGGATGCCACGAAGGGCAGTTAACAGTATCTTTCTTGCTTATTTATATAGGTGGTTATGCTGAGCTCAGTTAGTGATTTGCTGACATACATTGATGACAAGCAATTAACCCCTGAGTTAGGCGGCACCTTGCAGTACTGCCACAGTGAATGGATCGTCTTCAGAAATGTATGTTGCTTTTGCCCTTGCTGTAGAGCCTATAGTTCATGTTAGTCTGTGAATATAGTTTGAGAATTTTTTGACTCTTTGGGAAAAACAGGTTGCTGGGACTCCTGCTTTTCAAATACATACATAATTCAACCTCTTAATTTTGTTCCATAGGAAATATCTTGAAAGGATGAAGAATCATTGAGGATGACAATTGAAGTTGAACTTGAGGCCTAGGGAGATCATACTCTACCCACCCATGGCCCTATAGTAACCTAAGTTACAAGGGGTTTGGGCTCAGATTCTGGCACTGTTGATTTTTAGCTTGGACAAGATATATAACTCTCCAAGTCTTAGTTTTCCCAACTATAAAATGGGAATAATCATTCCTTACCTCATAGGGAAGGAACTCTGGTGGGACAGTACCTAAGGCATTTGACTGCTAACCAGAAGGTTGGTGGTTCAAACCCACTAGCCATTCCATGGAAGGAAGAAGGGGCAATCTACTTCTGTAGAGATTTGCTGCCTCAGAAACCCAATGGAGGTCGCTATGAGTCAGATTCAACTTGATGGCAGTGGGTTTGATTTTTTGGTTAACCTCATAGGGCTCTTGGGTGGGGAGGTCACAAAAGTAAAATGTTTGACACAGTGCCTGGAATCAGGGGTGTAGTGAGGGTAAGGAGCTCCCAGGGTGATCTCTAAGGGGCACCCCCACCTCAGTTTCAATTTCAAGATGACTACATGCTGATAATGGCAACACGTCAGCAGAAATGCCCTCCTCCCCTCTTGCCCTCCCCCACCTGTCTTGTCCAGCTGCCTTTCATATTTTCTTATTTGTGGCACCTAAGAATGTCATTCCACACCTCGACTGGCACCCCCTTGGTCTTGTGCCTGGGGCCCAGTATCCCCCTTTGTCCCCACCTCACTATGCCTCTGGATGTCTGCACTGATTGAGGAAGGATGTTAGGCTGGACCAGATTAACAGAAACTGTTCAGTGGCACCCAGGGCACTTGCCATACCTGCCATACCTTAGACATGCCTCTGCTTGGCAGATAGCGAGTCCTCAATGATAGCAAGTAATATCATTAATGTCCTCCTTCTAGTGGTGCTCCTGAGGCCATTAGGTTTGGAGCCAAGAGTTCTTCTGTGCTGGTAATGTACAAATGGGTGAAGGACCTACACCTCACAGGTGTGAGTCTGTGATAAAAGAAACTTGACTTTAAATTGCACTAGAGATATGGGAACCCTTCTGAGGAATTAATGTTGTCTGTTTAAATCAGGGTTCTTTCTTACCCTTGTTCCTCATTCAACAGTCCTGTTCATTTATATGAATGTGTATTGTGCAAAATTAGTAAGGTCTAGTCTTAAGAAAGGTGCCGTGGAAAGTTCAACAAGCCAGAAAATAACAAATGCTGGTGAGGATGTGGAGAGATTGGGACTCTCATACACTGCTGGTGGGACTGTCAAATTGTACAACCACTGTGGAAAGCAGTATGGCGATTCCTTAAAAAATTGCAATTAGAAATAGCATTTGACCCAGCCATTCCATTACTAG